AAATGTTCTATTCAATGATTCCATCTGCGCCGTTTTCGTCTTCTCAAGCTCAGTCGTGGTTACTTCAATTTTCTCTCCTTTTCCTCGAGCGGCAAAATAAGGTTGTCCTTCTCTGATGAGACTTCATTTGGATCTTCTCGAGAACAGCCCATCTGAGGCACCAACTCTTCATTTCTCCCGTTCTTAGCCGCGCTTGACTCAGACATCATGGCTTCGTTCAGTTTACTCAATTCCCTTCGCAAGTCCATGGCGACATTTACAGCTAGCATTCTTGCTTCCTCCAATTCGGCTTTATCACGAGTGAGTGTCTCAATCGTGTGTCGTAAATTCACTGCCTCCTGTTGAACTTGATTCAGGTTCACGTTGAGTGAGTCTCCCTGTTGAGTCAGCATTTCTATACCTTTCTCCCTCACTAGCTCGTCCACTAGACCCTCGATCTCCATGAACAGGCCTTTCTCTTTCTCCACACCTTCTTCAACTTTCTTCGTAAGATCGGAGATTATCTTCTCATTCTTTTCCTTCTCTTATTTTAGACAGAATGAACTCTTACTCAATTTAGTCATTTCTTTCTTTAACCTTTCAACTTTTGCTTTCAACTCTTTCTTTTCTTCTTCAATTTTCATCCTCTTTCTTCTTTCTTCCTCGAATTGCTTTTCCGGCCATTGGAGCTCTCTCTCTTCGAGCTCGGGCTCTCTGTTATTCGGTTGTTTATCTTTATCCGATTTTCTTGTCTCTGCTATCAGGATTTCGCCACATCCGCTGCGCATCACCTCATTTTTAACAGTTTCCACTACCTCACGACTATCGCCATCGTCTTTCATACCGCCGTCTCCTTTTGTGTTCGGCTCTTCATTTTGGGCCATCAAGAGGATGCCTCCTGTAACGCCCCTAATTTTCTCTAACCTAATTAGCGACGTTACCTTATACTTGCATAATCAACAGAACAAGAGTTCACGTAAGACAATCTCAATAACGACAATGCGTTCATTATTATAAGCAGTTCATACTTGGGGAAATCAATAACGACAACCTAGCCTAGAAATGATCAACAGAGAACTAGAGGAAACAATTGCAATAACTATGAACCCAAAAGAATCCAACAAGGTACCTACGACACTACAAACTCTCCTCAAGATTTTCATGGCCTTCGCAGCATCCACCGTCAGCCGTACATGGGAGCCTTGCCCTTACCTGAAAATATGGGTAGCACGTGGCTTGAGTATTATATAAAATACCCAGTAAGTCGCCCCACTGTTGGGGTTAAGCATATAATCATACATCCGGATACAAACAGTCGCACACAATACACATACATGTAGCACATAATACACCTACATGAGCACAAGTGTTAAAAGAAAGAAACTGAGAGAGGGGTCTGTCTTCCATTCCTTCCCATGGTCTTAGGCCCTTGCTTTGTCCGGGCGGGGTGGATGCAGGGTACTTTCCCACACATGGCCCACGTGTGTGACTGTAGGCCCACTAGGCGAGTTCACAAGCGAACTCCCTAGGCCTGGCTTGGTTGGGTATGTATGACATACAATACCGAACACCACGGACAAAGGAGGGCCTGCATGATATCGTGGCAAACACATATCGAATATACGCGTCCATATCATCAGTAGCATAACGGGGGAGTGCCCCAGGTACATAACCATAGCGTGCATGAGGTTCTTGAGGTTTACCTCCATGGCATTATACATACAACGTTCCATCCCCTCACCGCATTACATAGCATAACTGGGTCAAACATCGGGTAAGCATATCGTAGCATACTAGTCATCACATTCATGGCATGCGGGGTTCTCATTACAATCATGACATGTCAATCAAGCTCATACATACAAGGTAGCAAACCGTGTCACAAACGTCATATACATAAACATGGCATACATAGCATTTAACTGCAAGAACCACATACATAAATATGGCATACATAACATTCCACTACAAGAAACATATACATAAACATGGCATACATAGCATTCCACTGCAAGAAACATCTAACCTACCATACATCAACAACACACATGGTGCATGCAAGGGCCACGAGGCACACACCAACATACATACATAACTAATGCCAACAGTAAGGTAACATGATACACTTAGAGCCCTTTCACAACTATCCCTTATGCCTAGCTACCAAGGTACGTCCCTATCGCAAGCTATTTTGTCAAAATGGAGTTATACTGACCTCAGATTGTTGAAACAAGGGTGGGAATGGCTCTAAAAGGGTAAAAAACCTAGGAATTGGTATACTATTTGGATGTCGAGCCGCCAAGCCGCGCCGCCGAGCCGCATTGCCAAGCTGAACCTAGTGGAGCAAGGTGCGCACGTAGCCGCCGATGGAGCTGAAACCGACGACTGTGAAGAACACTACCGGCGCAGGGTTTCTGGACGTGCCTCCAGTTTGGGTCGAAAGGGAATGGGGCCCAGGGGTGGTGTCCGAGTGCGGCCTGCGAGGTGCGAGCTGCACGTTGGCCGAGACGACTCGCAAAATGCTGAGGGTCGACCCACGCCTGCCGCTTCGTCTTTCTCGTCCGAAAGCCTTGAAGGCCCTAATCGCGGAGCTTGGCTACTGTCGCCGGTGGAAGCGTCGTCGTTTGTCCATCTCTGGTGGCGCATCTACCTCTCCTTGCTCCGAAGTACACTAGCGTCCGCTCCTACCTAAAGGAGGCAGCCACTCCTAGGGTTTAAGGGAGTCGGAGTGGATCTCGCTATTTTCGGCGGGTTTTTTTTTCCTTGGAAGGTGTATCGTTACACCTCCACTTGTTGCGTCATCTAAGGCCAGGTTGATGGTTTCTTCCACCTTTTCTTCGGCTCGACAATATCTTGCATAATGACCCATTCTACTACAATTGTAACATCTGTCGGTGTTACAATTATTTGCATAGTAGCCATATTTCTGACATTTGTAACACTAGATGTTGGAATTGTATCCTTGACCGCATCCTTGATTGCGTCATCTTCCACGCCAATTTGCTTGGCTCGATAGTCTCTTCTCATTATAGATTTCTTCGTAACTGTTGCCTTGACCACCTTGACCATTCTAGCGGCTTCCACGACCTCTACCTCGAAAATTTTGTGAGTAGAGTGCTTTTTCATCTTTTATCGATGCCTTCGTCTGAAGTGCTTGATCGAGTGGCTCCTCCTTTTTTTTCTTACGTTGCTCGTGTGCCTCGAGAGAACCGGCAAGCTCATCGACTGTGAACTTCATCAGGTCCTTTGACTCTTCCTATGGCACATACGACATTCTCGAAGTTGTCTGTTAAAGACTTCAAGATTTTCTCCACAACCCACGTCTCGGGTAACATTTCTCTGTTTCAATTTAGCTGAATCGCCACGGTCTGTACATGTGTAATATAGTTGGATACATTTTCTGACTCCTTAATCTTCATGCTCTCCAACTCGTCACGCAAAGTCTGGAGACGCACCTGCTTGACTCGGTTGGTTCCTTTGAACACCTTTTCTAGAGTGTCCCACGCTTCTTTTGAAGTAATTGCCCTTGCAATCTTCTCAAAGCTCAAATCGTCAATAGCTCGGAACAGCATGTATAATGCTGCCTTATCCTTTGATCGTAATTCCTTTAGCGCCTTCGTTTGCACCGCCGTATAACCCGTGGTATCCTTCAGTTCATCGAAACCGTCTTCGGACACCTCCCATGCGTCTTGCGAACCAAGAAGAGCTTTCATTTGGATGTTCCAATTCTCGTAGTCGTCTTTGTCAATCGTGGCAGCGGCATTTGTCCCATCATGTTCGTCATCGGCTCTGATACCAACTTGTAGAAAATAAATTTGCTCTGATACCAATTTGTTGAAATTAAAAATCGCTCAGATACCAACTTGTAGAAATTAGACGCTCACTCTAGGACTAACTCGTTTAGATAACTCTCATGAAACTGTTAAGGAGGTGTCTAGAGGGGAGAGACAAGGAGAAAAAGAAATTCTCAAAAACCTTTTCTATTACATTGTACTTTAACTCTGTAACTCTTGCTCTGCTTACTCTTTGCTCTACTCTCTTCTGCTCTACTTGCTCTGCTTTATACCATGAGAGATAAAGCCTATTTATAAGTTTTCTAAGGCTAAAAATTGGTCATAACTATCGAGCGTTTTCTCACCCATAAACCACTCATTTCATGCCTTTTAACTAAATTTATAAACCAAAATTCATAACTACTTCTTTCTTTCTTTTTTCTCTCTCTCATTTAAGTTTATTCCCAACATAATGAGTGGTTGAGAAACTCTATAAGCTTTTGATATAATGATATACCCAACAAAGGTGTCAGCTTCTGCCTTTTTGGCAAGCTTATCATGTTTGACCTGTGGAATGTGTTAAAGATCACGTATTTGTTTAGATTACTGACAGTTAGTATCTGATTAAATCTCCTAATAGTTAGGAGTTGATTTAGTTTTTGATTTGTATACTAGATTGTTACTAGATTTTCTGCAGAATTTTAGGTAGATTTTCTAAATATCTTTTTGTATTCTCTGTATATATATATATATATATATATAGCATTCTTTCTCTTCGTAATATACTCTTCTCATCAACCATTCAATCGCTCACTCTTTCACTAACAATTGGTATCAAAGCTATCTTCTTAAGGGATCTGTGAGATCTAAATGGGAGAAGAATCCAATTTTTCAGCTGTTGCACCACCAGTCTTCGATGGAGATAATTATCAAATGTGGGTAGTTCGAATGAAGACTTATCTGGAGGCTTTGGATCTTTGGAAAGTAATAGAAGAGGATTACGAGGTCCCTCCACTTCCAGCAAATCCTACTGTAGCACAAATCAAAGTACAGAAGAACAAGAAGACAAGAAAATCAAAGGCAAAAGCTTGCCTATTTGCAGCTGTATCTCGGATGATCTTCATGCGAATAATGTCCCTTAAAACAGCAAAAGAAATCTGGGATTATCTTAAGGCTGAATATGAAGGAGATGAGAGGATTCGTGGAATGAAAGTTCTGAATTTGATTAGGGATTTCGAGCTGTAGAAGATGAAGGAGTTTGAGTCGGTGAAAGAGTACTCTGACAGACTTCTCAACATTACCAACAAGGTGAGATTGCTTGGTTCTGTGTTAAATGATTCTAGGATCGTTGAAAAGCTGCTAGTCACTGTTCTGGAGAAGTTTGAAGCCACCATTACTACACTAGAGAACACCAAACACCTGTCAAAGATTTCTCTTACAGAGCTCTTGAACGCTTTAGAAGCACAAGAGCAAAGGAGGTCTATGAGGCAAGAAGGGGTGATTGAAGGTGCCTTGTTAAGCATCAAGACAACAATAGGTATAAAAACAAGAAAATTTTCAAAAACCAATCAATAAATAGAGATTCATTTGCCAATTATCAGAAGACAAAAGAAGGAGGTTCTAAAAAATCCTATCCACCTTGCCGCCATTCTGAGAAGAAAGATCATCCACCATACAAGTGTTGGAGAAGACCTGACGCCAAATGCTCCAAATGCAATCAACTTGGACATGAAGCTGTGATCTGCAAAGTCAAAGGTCAGGTGGAAGAAGTAGATGCACAGGTAATTGATCAAGAAAAAGAAGATCAATTGTTTGTGGTCACTTGTTCCTCCAGCAAATAATCAAGCAAGAGCTGGTTGATTGACAGTGGATGCACAAATCATATGACAATATGACAAGGAGTTTTTTTTTTTTAGGAATTAAGAGACACTAAAGTCAAGAGAGTGAGGATTGGCAATCATGAACACTTGGAAGTCAAGGGAAAAGACACAGTAGCTATAACAAGCTATGAAGGTACAAAATTTATTCCAGATGTTTTATTTGTACCTAAAATTGATCAAAATCTCTTAAGCGTTGGTCAGTTACTTGATAAAGGCTATAAAGTGTTGTTTGAGAATAAACAATGCTTGTGGCAAAGACTTGTTCAATGTCAAAATGAAAGGAAAAAGCTTTGCTCTAAATCCGACGGTCTTTGTATCTAGAGCTAGTGCCACTGAGATTTGGCACAAAAGACTTGGGCACTTTCATCATCGAGGTTTGCTTCAGATGCAGTCAAAGAAGCTGGTAGAAAGACTCCTTGACATTAATGATGACATGTCTTTTTGCCGTGCTTCTAATTTTGGGAAGCAACATAGGCAACCCTTTACTAAACAGGCATGGAGATCCTCCAAAAAGTTGCAACTGGTTCATACTGATCTTTGTGGTCATCAGCGAACACTATCATAAAATGGTGTATTTCGAAAATTCAAAGCTAGAGTTGAAAATGAAAGTGCATGCTTGATTGAGACTATAAAATCAAATTATGGTAAGGAGTACACTTCAGAAACTTTTAACAGGTTTTATGAAGAGGCTGGAATTCAACATCAATTAACAACACCATACACTCCTCAACAAAATGACGTTAGTGAAAGGAGGAATATATTTATAATGGAGATGACGAGATGCATACTTCTTGAGAATGATCTTCCAAAACGTTTTTGGGGAAAAGCATCAAACACTATTGTGTGCTTGCCAAATCGAATTTCAACAAAAGCTATGAAGGACCTGACACCATTTGAAGTTTGGTATGACTACAAACCTTCTTTAAAGTTCCTTAGAGTATTTGGGTGTCTTTGCTTCACTTACATTCCATAGGTTAAGTGTGATAAGCTTGATAAAAAGGCAAAAGTTGGCATCTTTGTTGAGTATTAACAGTATATCCAAAGCTTATGAAGTTTTTCAACCACACACTAGTTGGGTTATTGTGAGCCAAGATGTTCTTTTTGCTGGAAATGAGCAATGGAATTGGGAAGAACTGACGAAGGTTAATAAGATTTCTAATGCACCAAAAAATTTCATCTTTGGTAGCATGTTAGAAGATTCTGAAGATGAACGACAAGAAGAGTCTGAAGATGAACGACAAGATGCTTTGGTTGATGATGCACCTGTCAAAGGAGGAGCTTTCGGTAATCGAGAAAAATAAAACCTGGCAGCTGGTTGATCGACCTCTAAACAGAAAGATAATTGGAGTAAGATGGGTGTTCAAAAAAAAGTTTGGAGTTCACAGCATCTAAACAAGGAGGAGTGTTAAAGCGTAATTGTTTAGATTGTTGTTAGTTAGTATCTGATTAAATCTCCTTATAGTTAGGAGTTCATTTAGTTTTGATTTGATTTAGTTTTTGATTTGTTTACTAGATTGTAACTAGATTTTCTGCAGATTTTTAGGTAGCATTTTTAAATATCTTTTTGTATTCTCTCTATATATAGAGAGCATTCTTGCTCTTCGTAATATGATCTTCTCATCAACCATTCAATCACTCACTCTTTCACTAACAGAATGTAAGTGAAGCAAAGACACCCAAATACTCTAAGGAATTTTAAAGAATGTTTGTAACAATACCAAACTTCAAATGGTGTCAGGACCTTCACAGGTTTTGTTGAAATTCGATTTTGCAAGCACACAACAGTATTTGCTGTCAGAAAACACTCATACAACTAAGAGACGAACCAACTTACTCATTATTATTCAACTTGTTACACAATACATATATAGACAGAATAGCCCCACTAACTGCTAATAACTTCCCTTAACCGCTAATAACTTCTCTTAACTGCTAATAACTACCCTTAACTGCTAATAACTTCCTTAACTAACATAATTTGAAATACAAACAGTAAATAAAATGAATTATGGTTAATACAAGATTAAATAAACTAACAAATCATCCCCTTAATCTTGTATTTCGATCTTCACATTCTTACATTCTTCAAACCAATTCTTTCAGTAAACGTCCTAACCATATTCCTTGACAAGCAGCTGACGTTGTCGCAATATACACCGCTTCACAGGATGAAACTGCCACCATCTTTTGTCTCTTTGAAGTCCATGTAATTGGATTCCCATGCAATTGTTTCTTTCTACTTGCTTTACCTTCACATAATGACATTCGATATCAATAGTTCCTTTCACCAGTTTGACTACTTGTTCAACGATACCGCTACTGCCATTATCGCCGCCTTCCTTCTTCTCTGTCTTCGTTTCAATGGGCAACTGCTTTTCATTGACAGTTTTAATTACCTATTCTACTTGTCCGGCCAACAGCTTTTCCTCAACAAGTTTAATTACCTGTGCTACTTCAATTGCACTGTCAGGAACAATGGCCTCCTTCTCCTTCTCTTTCTCTGCTTTCGTTTCTCCGGTGACCTGTTTTTCAATAGCACAGCCATTATTTTCGTCCTCTTTCTCCTTCTTCTCACCGTCACAGTCCTTCTCTTTTATCTCCTTTGCTTTCACTACCTCCGTTGCCACATTCTGGACCTCCGCCACAACGTCATCGCTCTTCTCCTCGGATTCAAACTTCACAGCGCCAACGATTTTCTCGCCATCGCTCTTCTTCTCTTCTCACTTCTCTATTTTTTCCTCCGATTCAATCTTTCACAGAGCCATCGATTATCTTCTCATCGATTAACTTCTCTATGTTTTTTCATAGACGCAACCTTCACATCTCCACGTTCTTTTATCTATACAAGTGATCCATCTCCGAACTTCACCGTGCCAGTCACTGACTCGTTCAATTCTGAGAACCAACTTCGACAACCAGTCATATGATTGCTGGCTCCCGTATCTAGGAACCAAGTGTTGCTTTTCTTCTCAATTTCTTCTCGGACAACCTTCTCTTCATAAAGAACCATCTCCGTCAACTCTGGTGAACTGAGAGTTCGGACTTCCCAAACTTGTGCTGTAAATAAGGCTGGCTCATCCTCATCACTTTGCGTCTCAGCCAAGTGTGCCTAATCCTCCAATTTCTTCGATCTACAGTCGGATGCATAATGGCTAATCTTTTGACAATTATAACACTTCACCTTCCGACATTCTGAGGCATAGTGGCCTAGGCCTTGACAATTGTAGCATCTTACCTTGCTCTTGTCAGCCTTCTTCTCTTGATGAAACGATTCGTTTCCACGTCCATGACCTCTCCCTCTCCAGCGACCACTGCGAACTCGCACTCGGCTATGGCCTCCATTGTCGCTACGTTCTTTTGCTTTCCATTCTTCTTGAGTCAATAGACATGTTCAGCATTCTCTTTGTTTCCACCGATCCGTTCCTCGTATGCTTTAACACGGCCAATGACTTCCTCCATGGTCATCACCTTTAAATCGACAAATTGCTCTATTGCCGATGCGATATGAAGAAACTTAGAAGGTACTGAGCGGAGAAATTTTTTCACCAAATATGCCTCTTCAAACTTGTCTCCAAAAGTACGTATTTTATTAACAACTCCTGTCAACCTTGTTGCATAATCATCAATAGTCTCGAACTCCTTCATATTCATAATTTCGAACTCAATCTTCAGAGTTTGGATCTTTGCCTCCTTTACACGTTCAACACCGACATGGATAGTTTTTAACGTCTGCCATGCTTCTTTTGCTGTCTCTTTCTCTGCTAACAAAAACATCTCCTCAGGGATTGCTTGATAGATAGCTGCTAAAGCCATTTGATCCTTCCTTTCATCAAGACTATCCAGAGACTCAGTTGATTCGATTGCGTCCCACACCCCTTGAGCACGCAAATAGACCTTCATCTTCATAGCCCATGTTGAGTAGTTGGTTCTCGATAACGTCGGGTATTGGAGTGATACCAGACCTTCCTTTGTTGTAGACTTTGACGACATGATCTTTGGCATGTAACTTGGCTCTGATACCAATTGTCAAAAAACACTCATACAACTAAGAGAGGAACCAACTTACTCATTATTATTCAACTTGTTACACAGTACATATATAGACAGAATAGCCACACTAACTGCTAATAACTTCCCTTAACCGCTAATAACTACCCTTAACCGCTAATAACTTTCCTTAACTGCTAAACTTCCCTTGACTGACATAATTTGAAATACAAACAGTAAATAAAATGAATTATGGTTAATACAAGATTAAATAAACTGAATTATGGTTAATACAAGATTAAATAAACTAACATTTGCTGCTGTTTCCCAAAAACCTTTTTGGAGATCTGTCTCATGGAGCATGCATCTCATCATCTCCATTATAAATCTATTCCTCCTTTCACTGACGTCATTCTGTTGAGGAGTGTATGGTGGTGTCAATTGATGTTCAATTTCAACCTCGTCACAAAACCTGTTAAAAGTTTCTGAAGTGTACTCCTTGCCACTATCTAATCTTATAGTTTGAATCAAGCATGCACTTTGGTTCTCAACTCTGGCTTTGAATTTCCAAAATACACCCACAACTTCTGACTTTTGTTTCAGCAAGAAGATCCAACACATTCTTGTTAGATCATCAATAAAAACAATGTAATAAAGATTACCATTTAATGATGGTGATCGCTGAGGACCACAAGGATCAGTATGAACCAGCTGCAGTTTTTTTTAGGCTCTTCATGCTTGTTTAGGAAAGGGTTGCCAATGTTGCTTCCCAAAATTACAAGTGTGGCAAGGAGGCATGTCATCATCAATGTCAACGAATCCTTCTACCAACTTCTTTGACTGCATCTGAAGCAAACCTTAATGATAAAAGTGCCCAAGTCTTTTGTGCCAAATCTCAATGGCACTAGCTCTGGATATAAAGGTCATCTGCTCCTTCTCCATTGAAGTTAGAACAAAGTTTTTTCCTTTCATTTTGACATTGAACAAGTCTTTGCCACTAGCATCTCTAATCAAGCACGGCTTATTCTCAAACAACACCTTATAGCCCTTATCAAGTAACTAACAAACACTTAAGAGATTTTGATCAATGTTAGGTACAAATAAAACATCTGGAATAAATTTTGTACCTTCATAGCTTGTTATAGCTACTGTGCCTCATCATTGTCAATCCTCACTCTCTTGACATCAGTGTCTCTTAATTCCTAAAAAAAACTTCTTGTCATGTGTCATATGATTTGTGCACCCACTATCAATCAACCAGCTCTCGCTTGATTCTTTGTCTAAGAAACAAGTGACCACAAACAATTGATCTTCTGATTCTTGATCAATAACCTGTGCATCTACTTCTTCTACCTGACCTTTGACTTTACAGATCACAGCTTCATGTCCACGTTGATTGCATTTGGAGCATTTAGTGCTAGGTCTTCTCTAACACTTATATGGTTGATGACCTTTCTTCTCACAATGGCGGCAAGGTGGACAGGATTTTTTTGAAATCTCCTCCTTTTGTCTTCTGATAATTGGCAGATGAATCAACATTCTTCGATTGGTTTTTCAAATTTTTCTTGTTTTTATACT